TTAGAACTTTAATCATGAAACCAAGCAGCTCAGTGTTAAAATTTATATTTTAATTTAGATCTGGTTTGACCTCAAAAGTTGTTTTCAACCCATCTTTGAATCACTTGTAGAAAACGTTAAATCTGCTGGTACCAAAACCCCTAATCACAAACCCAGTACAATCGATCTGGAATAAGCACTGTGCAATGTTTTTCAAAGCTCCCCAGGTGACTCTGATGTGTAGCCGAGAAACTTTAGCACAAGAACCCAGCACAGGAGAAACAAAGCAACCCAGAAAGAGGGAGCTTTGCTTTTAACAAGAGAAATTAGGGGCCAGGAGCGGTGGTTCACGCCTGTAATCCCAGCACTTTGGGAGGCCAATGCAGATGGATCACTTGATATTAGGAGTTTGAAACCAGCCTGGCCAACGTGAAGAAACCCCATCTGTACTAACAATACAAAAATTACCCGGGCGTGGTGGAGCGCACCTGTAACCCCAGCTAGTTGGGAGGCTGAGGCATGAAGATACATCGTATCAGCAAGCAAGCTCACTGAAACAATGAAGTCGCTTAAGATTGGTGGGGTTTTTGTTTTTGTTTCATTTTTGTTTTGAAATGGAGTCTCGCTGTGTGGCCCAGGCTGCAGTGCAATGGTGCGATTTTGGTTCACTGCGGCCTCTGCCTCCCAAGTTCAAGTAATTCTCATGTCTCAGCCTCCCAAGTAGCTGGGATTACAGGTGCCCACCACCACATCCAACTAATTTTTGTATTTTTAGTAGAGATGGGGTTTCACCATGTTGGCCAGGCTGGTCTCGAACACCTGACCTCAGGTGATCCACCCACCTTGGTCTCTCAAAGTGCTGGGATTACAGGTATGAGCCAAATAATGGTGTTTATCTTCATAATACTCTACACATCATGCTCACCTCTTATAAGAAAAGATTCAAATCCCTCTATAGATGAAGACTTGCTGAATTGCTTCTAGCAGCCAATATATAAGGTTGACTTTTAGACATCAACTTATGCAGGAAGTGTTAATATTTCATCTTGGTGGCTCTGTAATATTTCAGGCCCATCCAACTGTCCTCGAGGCAACATTCAGAAAGAATAATCTGAGTGACCAAGAGGGAGATTTTCTGTCACTGATAAAATATAACATGCCAGCCCCATGTCAAGCCTGAGTGAATCTTTACCATTGGAGCTAGCAGAGACCACCAGAAACCTAACCATTCATTCTGTAAAATAACTACTCCGACATTTAACGTGACTTATCAGCGGAACAGAGCAGTTTTCGTATTAACCCTTCTGATAGAAAAGGCATCCATTTTTGTAGGGCAACAGACACTGACTACAAGATTATTCTATCACCCATCTTTAATCAGTTGAATGGGAAAAGTCTTTATTATCAAAGGGCAGTTGAGGAAAAGTGACATTTCTATAGATCATTATGGATAATATTTTGTTAAAAGAGAATATTCATTGCCTAATTTATAAGCAGCATGACTTTCAAAGGGTTTTCATTCATAGAGACCATGTCTTTATTAAAGCAGATTTAAATATAAATAAAATATGGCTAAACATCTAGGAAAATGGACTCATTGCCCATTCATTGGACTTTCCCTGGACTGAGAAAGTCAGAATAGAAAGATTGCCTTTTCCTCAAAGTTCTAATATTTACCAATATGTAGTTGGTAGGAAAATGAATACTAGGAGAAAGCAATAGAGTTACCTGATGAGTCCTTCCACAATTAAAAATATATGCACTATTTCATGAATGAAAATGTATTACTGATTTATAAATTATAAAGTAATATAAAACGGTATACCAGTCAATCACTAAAGAGAAAGAAGAGCATCGAAGGTTTCGATTTTGAAACCTTTCTTGTGTAGCCTACCTTTAATGCATCCTCTTACATTCAGCCTCAAGATTTTGAATGTTGTGAAGATCACATCTTCACTTTTCTTTAAAATTTTACCAGGTTTTGCTTTTGCTTTTCTTTTCTTTTTCTATTTTATTTTACTTTAAGTCTGAGATACATGTGCAGAACTGCAGGTCTGTTACATAGGTGTACACGTGCCATGGTGGTTTGCTGCACCTATCAACCCACCATCTAGGTTTTAAGCCCCTCATGCATTAGGTATTTGTCCTACCACTCTTCCTCCCCTTGCTCCCCACCCCGCGACAGGCCCTGATGTGTGATGGTCCCCTCTCTGTGTCCATGTGTTCTCATTGTTCAAGTCCCACTTATGAGTAAGACCATGCAGTGTTTAGTTTTCCGTTCCTGTGTTAGTTTACTGAGAATGATGGCTTCCAGCTTCTTCCATGTCCCTATAAAGGATGTGAACTTATTCTTCTTTATGGCTGCATAGTATTGCATGGTGTATACGTGCCACATTTTCTTTATCCAGTCTATCATTGAAGTGCTTTTTCAATATGTCATTTACTTTTCAAGTTTGGAAATAATATATAAAAGACATCATACTGTACATATTATTTTAATATTTGTTTTTGTTTTATTTCTTGCTCAAAGTATTTTGTGAGATGTACTTACGATGTGTGCAGATACTGTTTATTTTTATTTCTGCATAATATTCCCTGGTATGAATAAGCCCCAATTTATTTACCCATTTGACCATTTTTGGATTGGTTGGATGTTACCAGTTTTGTTGTTTTTTTCTTTTTAGGTGTCCTGCTGGAAGCAATGGTGTTAACAATGTTGAAGAGGTTCCTTAGGGCATATTCCTAGAAATGGAATTGCTGTTCTCTAGGACGTAAACTACTTTAACAATATTACATAATCACTAATGCATTCTAAAACTGTTGCAATGCTCCCAGCAATCAGGTTTATGCAAGTACTCATTCTCCACATCCATATTTTCAGACTTAGTGATTTGGCAAAACTGATAAATATGAATATTTTTTATTGTGGTTTTAATTTACATTTTTCTGATTACCAGTGAAAATGAGTGACTTTTTCTATTTTATTGGCCATTTGTCCTTTATCTTCTGTGGAGGTTGTTTTATTGATTTTGTCTGTTTTATTATTGGTTGTTTGGTATTCCAGCCTGACCAATATAGAGAAACCCTATCTCTACTAAAAATACGCACACACAAAAATGCAAAATTAGCTGGGCGTGGTGGCGCATGCCTATAATCCCAGCTAATCGGGAGGCGGAGGCAGGAGAATCACTTGAACCTGTCAGTCAGAGGTTGTGGTAAGCTGAGATCGCGCCATTGCACTCCAGCCTGGGCAACAAGAGCAAAACTCCATCTGAAAAAAGTAAAAAGAAATATTGTCTTCTCAGAAATCTGTACCAATTTACCATCCCAACAGGAGCATATGTGTGCCTATTTTACAACACCCTTCTCACCACATTAGAGCATCATCTTTCAAACAAGCATTATTGATTGAATAAGTAAAATGTAATTCCATTGCTTTTGTAATTAACATTTTTTCTTGGGTTATGAGTCAGGTTGATGTTTTTCTGTAAGTTTCTTGAGTAGTTGTAATTCTACTTCTGTGATACTTTAATGTTAATGTCTATCCTTTTCTGGTTTATCTGTTGTGTATACCTTGATTAATTTGGAGGAGCTTTTTATATAGTAAAACCATCAATCCTTTGCCGTATTGTTGCACTTCTTTCCGTTTATTTTTTGCCTCTGGTTTTGTTCATGCACTTTAATTATTAGTATTTTAACAAATAGTCATTTGTTAGTTGATTTTATTTCCTTGCATGTATTAAATAATAGTCGGTATCTGAGGTTATTTTTTCTCTCCAGCAAAGTAAATAAAATGATAATTATGAAGAGATTGAAAGTGGATATGATATTGCAATACTGTCAAGCCAGTTTTGGAAGCAGGGAATGTCCTACCAGACATATGACCATACCAGGTCATATATATCAAGTCCTGCCACAGTGGATATGTGGCTCACTTCAGCTTTTGTGGAGCGGGGAGCTTAGACAAAGTTTGGTCAATTCAGAATATGTATTTGGGCTCATTGACCCTGTCTCTAGACATCTCACATTCATGCTAGGTCTCTTAATTAGAGAAGTCTACACTTGCCAATGTCTTATTCTACTAGAGCACCCTTTTAAGCATATTAGCTTAGGTAATCCTCAAAACTTATGAAGAGAGTATTAGTCAGGGTTCTCCAGAAAAACCGAACCAATAGGATGTATATATAAATATATAAAAGCGCATTTCTTTTAAGCAATAGGCTCATGCAGTGATGGAGGCTGGCGAGTCCAAAATTTGCAGGGTGTGAGGTCAGACTGGAGACCCAGGAAGAACCAAGGCCACCGTTGAAGTCCAAAGGCCATCTGCGTAGAATTTTCTCTTGCTCAGAGAAAGTCAATCTTTTGTTCTAGTCTGGCCTTCAACTGACTGGAGGAGGGCCTGCCCTCATCATAAAGGACAATCTTTTGACTCAAATCCACTGATTTAAATGCTAATCTCATCCAAAAACACCCTCACAGAAACATCCAGAACAATGTTTGAACAAGTATCTGAGCATTGTGGTCCAGCCAAGTTGATACATAAAATTAAGCATCACAAGGCTGGGCGCGGTGGCTCATGCCTGTAATCCTAGCTCTTTGGGAGGCTGAGGTGGGTGGGCCACAAGGTCAGGAGTTCAAGACCATCCTGCCAACATGGTGAAACCCCGTCTCTACTAAAAACACAAAAATTAGCTGGGTGTGGTGGTGAGCACCTGTAGTCTCAGCCACTAGGGAGGTGGATGCAGGTGAATTGCTTGAATCTGGGAGGTGGAGGTTGCAGTGAGCCGAGATCGTGCCACTGCACTCCAGCCTGGTGAAAGAATGAGACTCTGTCTCAAGAAAAAAAAAAAAATTAAGCATCACACGAGGTACTTTTATTAACTCCATTTTATAGAGGACAAAGTTGGAGCACTCAGAGGTTAAGCGGTGAATACAATTTTAGAATCAGACCTTGGCCCAGGCAGCTGGGATCTTCGCCACAGAAGTAGGATTCGCCCTGCTCTCCAAAGTCCCTGGGATGTTAGTCAAGTTGATGTGTGTAAAAGGTTTAGTTTAATATTTGACAAAAAGTAACTGTTCAATACAGGTTTTTCAATAATAAAATCTCACCAAATCTAATTTCTGGATTTGCATAGAGTCAGGAAAGATCTCTTCCTGAAAAGAGTGAAATCCATAGCAGCTCTGCCTTTAACAATCAGGTAAAATGCAGTCATTTCTGATTTCCTTGATTAGAATTTATATTAATAATGCTTATTATCCTGGTTCAATTAAAAATACCAGAGCTGGGGAATATACGCATGTGGGTTCTAAACTGAAAGACTTAATTTTACGTTAAGGTTTTCATTCCATTTTTATTTCTATGATCTTCATCATTCAAAAAGTTTTTGTCTGATCAGAAGCATAGACACTGGTCTAAGAAACCTAATTCCTGCACTCTCATTTAGCAGCTAGGTGGTATTAGCTATATGAGGCATGAATGTGCCCATTTCTGAAATGGGAATGTGACTCCACACTGTTGCAGGATGACTGGGTAAATCATTAAAGCACTCTTCCCAAGCAAATGTGAATACAAATGAATGTTATTACATAAAGACTTTTCCAAAAGGCAGATAATCCTCATGCCTATGGGGCTGCACTAAACATTACAGAAGGAATTTGAAATTAAAAACAAAAAAAAGTTAATTCTATCTGAATAGGTACTATATTAATAATAATAAATGATAATTCTAGATTGCCAGATTTAGAGTAATTATTTTAATTGCATGTTTCACCATCTGGATGACAGTCCTGGGTGTTTAAACAAGTTTTCAATTAGTATTTCGAGGAAGTGCCAAGAAAATTGTTCTCTAAGCGTTACATTTCTTTCCCTTCTTTCATAATAATTTCCCTTTGTTTTCCCTTTTAATTTTAGGTTTTAAAAGATGATCTGTACCTCTGGCAGAGTGAATACAGTGACAATGACAAGTAAAGGCAACAATTTGGGGATGAACTTTGGCTCCGCTACTCAGGTAGACAGGACTTTGACTTCTTGGTGCCTCAGTTTCTTCTTGTGTCAAACTCGAAAGGATACCTATTAAACAGGATTGTAGTAAGGATTCAGTATGACAAGCCACATAAAATTCTTGGCATGGTGCCTGACACACAGAAGTTCTATGCAACCTACCTCTTATTACCAATGGCAAGAACATCATTCTGAAGAGTGCAAAGCTATTTTAGGCACATATATGGTTGTATCTTCACATCAGCCCTCCAAGTTGCAGATTATTAGCCCCATTTACAGACGTGGAAACCAAAGCTCCAACAGGTTAAGAAATAAGCTCCGGGCCAGGCGCGGTAGCTCACGCCTGTAATCCCAGCACTTTGGGAGGCCAAGGCGGGCAGGTCACCTAAGGTCAGGAGTTCAAGACCAGCCTGGCCAACATGGCGAAACCCTGTCTCTACTGAAAAACACAAAAATTAGCCGGGCATGTGGTGGGCACCTGTAATCCCAGCTACTCGGGAGACTGAGGCAGGGAGAATTGCTTGAACCCAGGAGGTGGCGGTTGCAGTGAGCCGAAATTGCGCCACTGTACTCCAGCCTGAGAAACAGAGTGAGACTCCATCTCAAAAACAGACAGAAAGACAAGAAAAGAAAAGAAAAGAGAGAAGGGGAGGGGAGGGGAGGGGAGGGAGAGGGAAGGGAAGGGAAGGGAAGCAAAGCAAAAGAAATGAGCTTCGTCTCACTTGGCTTCAAGTGTCTTCACACTGGAACCAGTCCTTCTGATTCCAAGTTTCATGTTTTCTCTTACTGAGCTATGGAGTTTCCCAATGTACATATTTTGTATTAGAGATCTTCCTAAGAACAATTTCGGTGAAAAATGATGTGAAACAAATCAGAAAGAATTCAAATAGCTTACATTCACATGAGGCACTATACCAGGAGTTACTTACTTTAATCTTCCAACCACCATGCAATTTAGTTTTTGTTCTTCTCATTTGTAAATGATGAAACTAAGGCTCAGCTAGTGTCACACACAAAAAAAGGTTCACATCTAGAAGCTTCTGAATCGAAGCCTGTATTTTTTGCTGTGTTTAAAGGAAATCAAGAAGGATGGTCACAGATGAAAGGTACAGCCCGAAATGCAAACACAAATATCTCTCAGCCTCACTTTCCTCTGGGGCATGATATGAGGCATTCACGGGTAGCACCTGGCAAAAGCAATGATCAGCTTGTGAGATGTGGGCAATAAAGATATTTTAAGATGCTTGAAAAAGATTTTCCGTGAAGGTAGACCTGAGTTGGAAATGCAAAGCTGAACCTTCTTGCACACCAGGGAGGGAAAGATGGCAAGAGTGGTTCATCGTTTCTCTCTTGATATTGAGTGATTTGCAAGCTGGAAGTGAAGTTGGCTTGGAAAGGGAGAGAGATAACAAGGGGAAAATATTCAATTTGAAGTTGCCTTCAAGGAAAAAATGTCACCCAGAAAATGATTTTATCAGGTTTGAAATGCAAATGCAATAAAATCCTTGACATATTTGGATTGGTAAAATAATTTCTCAGTATTGGGTGAGGAGAGGTTTTCAGTGCAGGGGAAGTTGTACGACTGACTTCTATGTGGGCTTCTATTGCTCTATGTATATGAAACAATCTTGATTGGTATTTTTGTTCTATTTAATAATATAGATAGATGTTTTTATATAGAGCTCTCCATGTAAATCCTATATAGATACAAGGTCAAATACTTTAGTGTCACTGCACCTAAATACCTTAGGTGGTGTAACTCCTTTTGTGGAAATAATTTGCCAGCAATTGAGCCCTATGGGTCCATAGCTACATGACTGAAGCTGGCCAGTACCAGAGGCAGGACCCACTGCTTTTTGTCATCTGACATGGAAGCTTGGGTAGTGTGCACTCTATGTTAAGTTTGTTGGACAAGGACTCTTAGATATCTATGGAAGCACAAAATAGGGGGAATCTAGAAATTTTCTCGGAATTGGGTTGTGGTATCAATAGAACATTTTATGACCTAAAACAAAGAAAAATAAAAGACCCTTAATGTAACAGCAAGCTGTATTAAATGGGAAAATGACTAGGATAAGAGAGAGAAGGCATTTGACTGCAGTGCTCTGCAAAACCTGGTATTTTATATTCAGTTCTACACAGTATTCTTTAAGAGGGAAACTGAAAAACTAGAATTTTTCAGTAGAAAGTAAGCGGAGTGGGATGAACACTAGAAGCTCAATGTAAAAAAAAAAATAGTTGAAGGAGAGTGAGCTATTTTTGTGTTGAGAGGCGAAGCTCTTAGGAATATAATTTTCTTTTTAATATCAGAACCTTAGTTTACTGGAAGGAGTGATAAACAGTGAAACCCTGAGATTGCTACTAGGATACGTGAAAGAAGCTTAAGGGAGGCAAAGTTAGGAGCAATATCAGAATGACACTCAAATCATCAGAAGTCAAGGCCCAAATCTCAGACATTTTGGTGCCAGCTTCACTGCCTGTGCAGAAAACCCGTGCTATGTTTTCGTCCATCTTTCTTCTCAATTGACTTTCTCATTAAATACAAATAAATGTATTATAAAAGGATATTTTACATCATTACCACAAATGGAAAATAAGTATCATCCTTCATAAATAAGAGGACAAATAAAATAAATAAGACGAAAAGAAAATAACGCTATGCATTTCAGCTGTATACTGTCATGTGCGTAAGGCTCCAGGTCTGAGGGCTACTACCTCTTTGTTAAAAAAAAGAATATTAGAAAGCATTAGGGCCAGGCGTGGTGGCTCATGCCTGTAATCCCTGCACTTTGGGAGGCCGAGGTGGGCGGATCATGAGGTCAGGAGTTCAAGACCAGCCTGGCCAACATGGTGAAACCCTGTCTCTACTAAAAACACAAAAAATTAGCTAGGCATGGTGGCAGGTGCCTGTAATTCCATCTACTTGGGAGGCTGAGGCAGGAGAATCGCTTGAACCCGGGAGGCAGAGGTTGCAGTGAGCCACGATTGTGCCACTGCACTCCAGCTTGGGCAACAGTAAGAGAGTTTATCTCAAAAAAAAAAAGAAAGAAAGAAAAAAGGAAAAAAGAAAGCATTAGGTGTTCAAGACAGCGAACAGAGATTGCTGCAGTCTCCTCCTTGACATCTGAAGAAATGAAAGCAAACTGAGGATGTAACTTTCACTCTATGACAATTAACATCATTTAATGTTTCATATGTGCAATGTAAGATCTTTTTAGAGGTGGATCTCACATTTTGGGTAACACTGACCAGAGTGTGCAATGATGGGCCATTTAGGAAACAGGAAGCTTCAAGTCAAAGTTTTCCGAAGAGACCTGAGTCAGCAGGGCTGTTGGTGAGAATGTCACCTGGCTGCCAGGTAGCCTCTAGAGCCCTTCTGGCTCAGGGCAGCTGGGCTTGCTGTCAAGTCCCTGGACCTTGCCTCCATCCAGGCCCATGGTTGAAGCTCCTGGTGGGCTCCACACGCTGCTCTTTGATGTCTGCGTGTTCATTATGCACCACAATTAGAGTTCCCTGTTTTCAGAGACAAATGTGAGAGGGGCCATTTGTGCTGTGGCTGGCAGGCATACAAATCTGGCTGTACAGTGGTTGTGGCAGGCCCTCATTTCTCAGCGTCACTATGGATCTTGTATAATGTGCATTGTTTCATTTTCCTAGCAATGTAGTCATGATTTCCTACTGACGGAGTGGGAACTGGTGCCAATGGGTGCCTGCTCCCATAGTGAGGAACCCTGGGTGCCAGTTTCCAGGGCAGCACCCAGGAAAGGTCAATCAGCTTTCTCACTTCTTCTGCATAAAATAAGAGCAGATGAGGATGAGGTGCCTCTCTCATGGGGACAGTGAAGACCACATACAACAGAGTGAAAATTAGCACGAGTTTTCAAGCTGAGGTAGCTGAGCTCTAATACCAGCCTTGTCCTACACAGCTTTGTAAATTTGAGTGATGAGGTGATTTAACCACTTTAAGCCTCAATTTATTCATAAATAAAATGAGGTTAATAAAGTAACAAGTCATGAGACTTTTCATGAGAAATGGCTGAGATGATGTGAAACCAGTGCACATAAAACTTCTGTCTAGTCCTCCCTTCCCTTCTTCATATACTGGTGTGATGAGACAGAAGGACAGGCAGGAAGGAACCATGAGCTTACCCCATCATTGACTCACCTGTGTATTGTCATTTCCAAGGAAGATGAGGCTGGGAATTAGAGGAGGGTGCTTCGTGGAGAATTCAAGATAACTGAGGCAAAAAAAGAAATTAGCCCTTTTTGCTAATTGCTGTGGCATGCATTCATTTGTTTACTTAGCAACTATTTTTATTAAGCAGCTACTATGCTCCAGGAATAGCCTTAGGATTCATTGGCACAAAAGATAGGCACCATCCTTGTGCTGGTAGAGTTTAGAGTCTACCGAAATGGAAGAGACTCGCCCTGACTTAGCAGAAACACGTACAGGGAGGCCGGGCATGGTGGCTTACGCCCGTAATCCTAGCACTTTGGGAGGCTGAGGCGGGCAGATCACCTGACATCAGAAGTTTGAAACCAGCCTAGCCAACACGGTGAAACCCCATTTTTACTAAAAGTACAAATATTAGCCAGGTGTGGTGGTGTATGCCTATAATCCCATCTACTTGGGAGGTTGAGGCAGGAGAATTGCTTGAACCTGGGAGGCAGAGGTTGCAGTGAGTCAAGATTATGCCACTGTACTCCAGCCTAGGTGACAGAGAGAGACTCCATCTCAAAATAACAACAACAACAAAAAACCACATACAATAAGCATTCTGAAGAAAAGTGACAAACATAACAGGTGTCTATTACAGAAAGATTAAAGTCTCCAGAGTCAGAACATATTTTTAGGAGCAGGCAGTTTTTAATCCAATCCTTGTTGAATGAATTGAGCCAGCAAAGTCATAAGGTCTGGAAGAGGACAAGGCTATGTAATCAGAGCAATAACAGTAAGTCCAGCCTGTCTAGTGGCCTTCAAAGAGTGGCCAAATGTTCATTTTGCTAATTAAGTAATCCATTAAAGCAACTATTTAATATTATCATTTTATGAAACAAAAGACATTTTAATGCCAAGAAAATCAGGAGATACCATCAGATTAATGTCAGCCCTTTAAATTGAAAAATTTTATGTTATAAAGAATTC